GTGTAGGAGAACAATGACTTAAGCATCATTTGTTGGACACGGCTGCACAGTTCCCTTACCATCAAAACGTAAAGAGGCAATTTTTAGATCCAAAGTTAAGTGGACAAAACAAGGCGAAAAACTAACAAAGTACTTTTTTAATGTAGAAAAGAAACACTATGTAACGAAAACCTTGCTTCAAATAAAGTTACATAATGGTGAAAACATACAAATCCAAGCTTACTGATGTCCCGCTGTCTGAGCAGGAATTAGGCCTTAAGGACTTTATTCAAAACTTGCAAATTCCACGTCTGTCTAACGAGGAACAAGAGACGTTTGAACATGAGTTAACTGTACATGAAATTAAAAATGTGTTACATACCTTTGTGAAAAATAAAACTCCTGGTGAATGCGGTTTCTCCACAGAATTCTATGCAACTTTCTTTGACCTTTTAAAACAGAATCTACTTGACTCGTATAATGAAGCTTTTCAGAAAGGCAGTCTCCCAATATCCCAGAGAAGAGGAGTAATTTCTTTAATTTCAAAAAATGACTGCGACCTGTCAGAGCTCACTGGATGGCGCCCAATAATGCTGCTTAACGTTGATTACAAAATCCTGGCAAAGTGTATTGCGTATAGAACCTTTCCTTCCCAAACTAATCCATTCGGACCAAATAGGATTTCTGAAGGATAGATTTATTGGTCAAAACGTAAGACTTTTGAATGAACTCATGGAATACATGGATGTGAAGGAGATTTCAGGAATTTTACTTTTTATCGACTTTGAAAAAGCATTCGATTCCATAGAGTGGAACTTTATAAAAAGAAGCTTAGAATTGTTTAATTTGAGGCCATTCATAACAAGATGGTTCTCAACTCTTTACAATAATATAATTCCGAGCAGCAGTGATGAACGCTGGTTACATGACAGATTACTTCACTGTATCAAAAGGAGTTCATCAAGGGTGCCCGCTGAGTCCATTCCTCTTCATATTGTCCGTTGAGTTACTTGCCTTGAAAATTTGACAAGAGCCATACTGTAAAGGCATACGTCTTCCCAACCTGCAAGAAGCTAAAATCTCACAATTTGCCAATGACACTACTCTGATATCTAAAGACACCAATTCTCTAAAATTCTCGTTACAGATCATCGGAAGTTTCGGCAGCATGTCTGGTTTATGTCTAAATAAGAAAAAAACCAAAGCAATGTGGATTAACTCCTTAAAACATAAAAAAAGCAAAATATTGGAATTTCACAGCATAAAAGACCGCATTAAAATACTCCGGGCACACTTTTCGTATAATGCAGACAAGAACAACGATGCCAACTTCTTCAGCAAGATTCGTAAAATGAAAACTAAAGTGAACCTCTGGCAAACGCGTGACTTTACGCTTTTTGGCAAATTAGTTCTAGCCAAAACGTTTGGTGCCTCTCAGTTAATCTACACTGCTTCACTAATAACTTTCCCTGATGCAGTAACATGCGCGGCTCAAAGCCTCCTGTTCTCATTTGTGTGGAAAAATAAGAAAGATAAAATTGAACGAAATCTTGTATGCCAGCCACTTGAAAATGGTGGCCTTAGCTTTATAAATTTTGAAATTATGGTAAAATCTTTGAGACTAGCCTGGATAGCTAGACTGATTAGCAACTCTGATTATAATTGAAAGACAATACCAAATTTCTATTTGGACAAATATGGCGGCCTGCCCTTCCTTCTTAAGTGCAACTACAATACTGCAACTCTTGACAACAATCTACCTTTATTTTACCGTGAGTTATTAGATTATTTACAAGAACTAACGAAATTCCCAGAATACGATAAAAACAATGACCTCATTCTTTGGAATAACAGAAGAATTACAATAGAAAGGAATAGTGTCTTCTGGAAACAATGGTTTGATCAGGGTGTTACTTTCATTAGCGATTTAATGAACTCAAATGGCAAATTTCTAACCTTCGAAGAATTTCAAATTAAATTTGAAATTAAAGCTAACTATTTGCACTATTTTCAATTAATTGCTGCCATTCCTCAGAGTACTGTCAAATAGAAGATAGAACAATAGTCTTAACCAAATTCTGCTGTAAAAATTATTACAGTCTGTTCATCGAGAAACTTGCTTCAGAACCCTCCTCGAACAAGTAAATTTTATTTAACACGTTCGATGACTCCCTTCCAATGCAAATGCCAATTTCAACTCAACGCAAACTTGGTCTATTGGTTTTACTGCAAAAGAAATACTTGTATACTTGCAAGAACATTGTAACGAAACCTAATTTAGAAGAATTTTTACGTAAGCTTTTTGAACAATATCGCATTGAAAATTGTGGCAACGGACAGTTTTTTTCATCATTAATATATATATTTAGCCAAGCCTAAAAGCGGAGCTCCCGATTTCATTACGTAATAATAACGATAATACAATATAGCCTAACTGATACCTGCCAGTTGGTATCAAGTTGTAGTCTACCACGCAACCACATTTGTCAAGCGTTTTGCTGCTTGATGAGTCAAATCAAAGTCTGATGTTTTCCTCTTGGAAATGGTGTCAAATTTCCCTTTCTTTCCAAAAAATGGATTTATATAAATCCTTCGCATAACACTTTGAATATAAATCTGGAAACCAAATGTTATGTAACTGAGTCAACTACATCACAACAGTTAAATATTTCCTTCATGGTCATAATTATTTAATTATCATTGCTTCAATAAGCTTCTCTGTGAGTTCGTGGGCAGCCTGTGCATATTCCAAGTGCAAGAAATCGAGTAAATAGGTTGTTAGTGTTGTCGGTGTGTTGGATCCAAGCGCGTGCGTGATGGCGCGTACTGTCCAATTACTTAGGCATGACGCATACTGTCCTATTAAACTGTCCTATTAAGGCTGAAATCAGGGCAGTTGAGAACCAATCAGATTTGAGAATTTTGTTATAGTTATGATTATAATAATAATAACAATAATAATAGCTAAAGCAATCTATTTAACAAATCGACCACAATTTTCCATGGTGTACACTCTTAGGGGTGCATGTTTACATGACACTGGGGCAACTTTCGCCGTGAAGCAAGTTCACTCCGGTTCCCTCTCATGGCTCTACATTTGTTTACATGATACCACCATGCCGGCACAAGTCACTCCAGCGTGAGTTCACCCCGGTTGTTGCAGCACGGCGAGAATTTCACTCCGGTACAAAATCTCCCAACAGTATCATCTAAACGCGAAACAACCACTTGCTGCGGTGTGAAATCGGTCTGCCGGTGGACTGGAACAGGTAGCGCATGCTTAATGTTTGCAATTTTGAATCACACATATTTTATTCACATGAAGTGTACCCTCAAATAACGAGATATAAAATGACCCAGTTATCATGTAAATGGGATACAAAATCAAAAAGTCATCCTGGTAGGAAATTCGCGCCGGTGCGAGTTTTCTCATGTAAACACCCCCTTATATACCATAGAAATTACGTCATAACAAGTTCAAAATTCAACTGGAACCACGAGTTGCACTGCAAAGTTTTGAACATTTTATGGCATCATTTCTACAGTCTACAAGAGTGTAGACCATGAAAAATTGTGGTCGATTTGTTTTTTACAATACCATTTAATTTTTAATTTCCTGCGACGTTTTTATTGTTGTTTTGCGTATTTTTTGCTCTACTTTTGCAGCTTCAAGCACCAACTCACTGTCAGAAATTTCTCCCCATATGTTAAAATTTGGTTCTTTTTTGTCCATGTTGAGGAGTTAAATTATTTTTACAAAAACCAAAAACAAAACAGCCGACACTGCATGACAGGTTATGTCATTTCCATGGTCTATACTCTCATCATCGGACCATAGCTCTCGACCAATCAGCGTGTGAGGATTAGCTCAGTTATTGTAAAAAATCCATTGGGACCTGTCAGGAAAATATGGGTTTCAGTGAAATGAGAGGTGGTATGAGCATGTGTCGGACAGCGTACTTGAAAATGAGGATTACAAGATGCTGAGGGATTTCAGTATACGAACAGACCATGAAATTGAGGCTAGGAGATTGGATCTATTGGTCATCGACCAAAAAAAGGAACAACTGCAACATTATAGACCTGGTAATTATGGACAATGAAAGATGGAAGGGTGCGAGCAAAAGAGGATAAGTAAAACAATACCAAAATCTCACGAGACAAATTTATCAAAAGATGTGAGGTGTAAGGACAATGATGATGCCCATAGTGGTGGGGGCATTGGGGACGATACTGCTGAGGTTAAAAGAAAATCAGAGGACCATAGGTGTCGACACATCCATTCAACTTATTCCAAAATATGCCCTTTAATGTCAGCAAGGGTCTTTAGGAAAGTTTTGGAGATGTAGGCTGAGCAAAAGTAAAGTAAAAGATACTTCTTGATGGTTGTTGGCCGGAGTAGATGAAAACCATATTTGACACCTTTATGTGAGAGTATTAGCAATAATAATAATAATAATAATAAATTTTATAAATTTCTTGAAAGCTGGTTTGCAAATTGGTATTCCGGGATTTGTAGGGAATACTGGCAATATACAGTTAAAAGCAGCGAAAACGGCAGGAAAACGCGTGTATAAAAGCCCTAGTTTTTACTGCCCAGGCCAGTTGCGGCTTTAACTTTTTAGGGACCTTTAGCATCAGATTTTTCATGGGAAACGGCAAACCGCAAACCGCAAAATATCACGTGACCACGGTCTTGCCGTCACGTTTGCGGTTTGCAGTTCACGTTTTAACCGCGGAGGAGGCCTCTAGCGGTAAGTAACTTACGGCTAGGTTTTTGCCACTAAAAATTGTACAGCCTCACGTTTAATAGCATGAAGTAGCTTTCTATATCCACCTTCTAGGTGCTAGTTAGATTTTTGAACTCGAATGAATGAAGTATTCATGTTTTTTGGGTGATCAAAGTGATACACTTCCACTTGACAAAAAAACAACATAGCGGCATCAAGCACGTGCTTTGAATATTAGAAGTCAATCTTATGCCTGTTTCAATTTTCTTTTCTTCTGGCCTTCTGCAGAATATGGCAACTTTTAGATGGCCATTTGCTTCGAATGATCTCAAATTAGCGACCGAAACCGCTGCCAGACGACCTCAATGTCCAGCCGACTGGGAGGAAATCGAGAAAATACTCTCGGCTGTATTCAGTACAGAACAGAGGGAAGTAAAGTTGACAGGCCGTGCTTCTAGAGAGCGTTTAGACCGCTTGATAGCAAAGTATATAGAGGACGATAAAAGAGCGCTTAAGAGGTGAGTACAAATACCAAGTTTATTATTTGAGATGGCTCATAATGCGCAGTCAATTTCACTGTTTTTCTTTGGTCGGTAGATCTGGCACGGAAGAGGAGTATGACGAACTTAGTCAATTGCTTGAGGACATTTACACTCTTCGAAAAGATGCCGAGGAAACGCAGAAGAAGGAAAAGGAGAACAAAAAGCGGAAGGAGAAAGAGGATAAACGGAAAGCGGCAGAAATGAGGGATGCTGCCTTGCTTAGTTTGGGAAGTAAGTTTATTGAAATATTTTTGGTTGACATAATGAAGCAGGTTTGGATCAAAGTGTCATACTTGTTATTTGTGCTGAAGTATAATATATACATACGCATGATTAATTTTAGACTTTCTGATAATGAGATAGATGTATAAGCTTTAATGTCCCACCACTTTTGAAACGATTTCCAGGAAGCCAGTATAGAGGACACCGTAAAAATATGTGATCAAAAAAAGTGCCTGTCAGCAAAACATTGAGGACAAACATCGTGATCACAAATTGTGACTTCGTTTGTGAAAACGTTTCTTAATTAAGCTCCTATACATCCTTTGATCATTTTATGCGACAATTTCTTTTTTCATTCCATGAGCCATAAAAAAATTAGAAATTGGAGGTAATAATAAAGGTTGTTGTTGTTGGTTGTTAGGATGTTGTGAATAATCTTGTACTGAAACATTGCTATCGTTGTCATTTTTCAGCGTTAAGGGAAGTTTATAAACTTTGTTAATTTTACCATAACTGGTGAAAATGACAGCATCAACATTTACCCTCTGTAAAAGTACATGTATGTATTTACATGGTTTATACATAACCCCCTCCCCCTCCAATAATAAGAGCAGTCATATATAAAAATAGAAATGGCTATAAAAGATGTAACATTTTTGTTGTCTTAAGCTAAATAATAATTATATCAAATTTATTATTTAAAATTTAATTAGAGACAAAACAGGAAAGCTCTGATGACGAAACAGATAAAGATTCCGATGAGCACTCTGATGATACATGTAGCAGTGCTGCCAGTTCAAGTAAAGGAAAGAAAGGTGAGTGCAGCTATTGCCATTGCATGTACTCTAGAAGAGTCACTTTTCCATGTTCAAATTCCTGAACAAAAAAAGAAATGGAAAAATATTCAGGTTCTCTTTTTGTGCTCAGGAAGGCTGAGCCAAGGGGAATTGGCCGGTGATGGAAAGGATGTTTGCTAGACATTTGATTCTGTAGAATTTACATGCCATTCGACTTACACTGATTGCCTGAAATATTGATTACTACATATCTGCATTTCTCCTTTATAATTTGCCTTTTTAGACAATCAGTTGCTCTATGTTTTATTTTGTTTCCCTGCAATGCCACAACTTGATTCAATTTCTTAGGTTGCCCCTATGTTGTAATATTCATCTGTCATGCCTTTGCCAACACACTAAGAATGTGATTTCAAAATACAGCACAAGTGCTTTTCCTGAAAGGTGGTTGTTTCAAGGACTTAAAACAATTATTACTTGGTTATGAGAAAAAAGAGGCTTCATTTCAGAATTTTGTGTTCCACTGGACTGTCCTCACTAATGGATATTGCACTGTAATTTTTTTAATTGTTAAGTTCATTTAGACGACTTTTCCTTTTTCCAGCCTCAAAAGCAAAACCTGTCAAAAAGAAGAAAAGGGCATCAAAGCTGTCGGCCATAGAGATGCTGGAAAAGAAAAATGAAAGGAAGGCTAATTTTAAGGAGCTTGAGTTAGAACAAAGAAAAAAGGAGTTTGAGATCCAAAAACAGAAATATGAAGAAGAAGCAGCAGAGAGACGGGAGAAACTTCAACTGGAGTTGGAAGAGAAGAGGGCATTTCTTGCTCTGTTGAAAAACAGGCTTTAAAAGGAAAATGATTTTCTTGTAATTATTTTCAGGATTATTCGAATTTGTACTTAACAAAATCTAAAGTTGAGTTGATACAAGACTTAGTTGGGAGCACCAGTGTTCATAAAGTGTTACCCTTGCACTGGTATTTCCTGAGTTTTGGAAGAAAACGTCATATAGGGAGAAACTTCAACCACAGATGACGAGGGAACTTCCCTTGCCATTTTTGCCATTTCCCTTTGAACTGGCTACACTGGGGTTGGAAGAGAAGACTGCATTTTTGCTCATAAAGTGGTTTTTATTTATTTTACATTAAATTTGAATTGGTATAGAAGTCAAGGAGTTAAGTTAATACATGACTGTATTTGGAACCACCATTGTTTGTAAGTCTAAGCCTAACTTGTTAACTTTGTACCTGTACTTCTTGGATTTTACAAAATATCTTTAGAAATACATGTTTGTTGCACACTGCTGTTCTTGGAATTTAATGGTTTGACAAATAGGTTTCTAACATGGGTGGGTCAAGATCAAAATATGCAGCAGTCTGAGAACCATACAAGCAAGTATGGCAGGTGGCCAGTATAACTGCCACCAAATAGTACTTGCCAATGGGCTGGAGCAAAAGCTTTAAGTTTTTCTTAAAATCCAGAAATGCAAAGAGCTGACAAATCTTGCCAAATCCCCATTCTACACAGGTTCTCACTTTGCTCATTTGACTATTGAATTCCTGCCGATCATCTGTCAATCTAACTCCCCTATAAGGAGCCAGGATGTTTCTTGTCAGGTCATAGGCTGGGTCTCCATAAATTACATAGGGTTCCCCATTTGGCTTCTGGAATCTTCTCAATTTATCAGCCACACCGCTGACCCCTAGCATGAAAGCATCATGACGTTTTCCCTCTATAGAGCCAAACAGGTGGGCGATTAATCGATTAGGAGCTTGAACTGACTAGGAAATAATGTTAAAAATATACAACAATAGTCATGGGCAGGTTAAAAAAATGCTGTAAGGGACCATTGGTAACTATAGGACAGCAGGCCAGGCTCTGATATAGGCCGCGTCACAGACATATTATTTAACCTCGGTTAGTAATGTCTGCGAAGCAGCGCTGATATCTTTGTTCTGGGCCCCCAGTGGATTCAAGGACTTCCAGAAGTGCATTTTGAATTTCCTTTCGTCTTGATTGACAAATTGCCATAATTGTTCATACTCAGATCCAGGTACATCACTGGTGGGGGCCCAGAACATGGATTTCACCCGCTGTTTGGCAGAGAGATTTAAGTTAAACTAGCTCTAATATACATGTATACCCTTGAATAAGAAGCAATAGTTGCAGTAGTTCCTTGTCTGTTCATTTTTAGGGCTGTGTCATGGTGTGGGAGAGAGTTGCCTTGAAAGATTTAAAAAATTTTGGTCCTAAGGCAAACTAATTTTTCTTGGATCCATATTATGCACAGCATGCTGTTGTACCTGGAACTTTATGCAGTGTGTCCTTTTATGTCCACTGTACATAATCTTTTGATTTCTTGTTGGGCGTGCCATTGGTCTTGGGGTACCGTCAATGAATCCCCAGCACTGGTTAAGTGGTGCACCTTTCTCATGTATAGCTTGGGAAAAAATCCCAGGATCAAGCCATACCAGATCTAGGGTCTCCAAGAGATGACCGAATCTGTCATGAATATCATGAAGTATCTAGGTTATCAAAATAAAAACTGTGTGTGACCATAATAAAACAAGTTCCATGTGATTTAAGAAGATTCCAGTCTCTATATTCAGGGAGGTTTTTGTGTGCTTGATTCGAAAGAATGGGGCTTTTAACCAAACCACTTCGCCCTTGTTTTATAAGGCAAGTTCTGTTACCTAGGTTTAATACCTTATGGAGAATTAAGCTTAGCTCAGATTCGGACCTTCCAAACATGGCTTGTAAGTCACACCATCTATTTGGGTAGGTAAGCCTTCGCAAAAGGATCATAAGGGCTTCCATTCCAGTGACAAAAGTTCTCTGGGAGCAGATATAGCATTCTGGAATTTGCAAAGCCTCTAATAGGCGGTACATGTCACACTTCTGAAACCTTTGAAAACACAAGACTAAATAACGAAACGCCAGTCAAAACGTATAATCAAATTTTCACGCACAAGGGTAACCGTTTGCTACATATCTGAACAAAATATATTGACGGCTACATTGCTTCATACCTAAACATTGCAACACACTGACTCTTGTTTAAGTCGTCGATGTTTGTTCTCGGATAATCGACTTTGTAATCAGGGAACATAGAACTAACAAAGATTTCATCGAGCAAGTCTTCATCAGATGAGTCAGACCTTGTTGAGCTATCACCATACGTTAGCACAGTTATGATATCGTCGTAATTTCGCCTGAAAAAAAAAGTAGGATTATCTTGGCAAAAGCAATGTAAGGTAGGAAAATAAATCACGTCAATACCAACCTTGCTACAGAAGCCGCCATTTTTTTCCGACCAAACTACCCACAATTCTTCATGTTTCAAGAGCAAGTTAAACGCCTTGCTAAAGTTCGAAAGCCAGGAAACCTGAAACTGCAAACGGCTAACCACAAACCGCAGTTTGCGGTTTCCCGCGAAAAACCTGATGCTAAAGGTCTCTATTGAGAAGGTTAAGGTGGGTGGCTTGTACCTCAGTTTTTGTTTTAAATATTCATCTTCCTTTCTTTGCTTAAAACTATTTGTTGGACTGCATTAAATATCCACCTTCCCACAGAAGGGATTCTTTATAAGAATTCCCAACCCTCACCCTGGAATTTCCAGTTCAACCCATACATTCAGACCCCCCAAGAATTTACAATCCCTTTTGTGTGGGGATATCGCTGAAATACACATTTAAAGTTTCACCAAGGGTAAAAGCAGATGATTGGTCTGTCAGCATTTATTATTATATCCTCACTGAGTTCAGACAGATCACAAGTACCTCTTGAAGACTCCACCATGCTTTGTAAACAAACAAAAGGAACAGGGGGGAGGGGATTCTGTGAGATATTATATATACTCTGACTAATTACCTCCGTCTCACTCGCATTGCTGCCTATATATATGGAATGTTCATCACTGCTGCCAGAATCATCACAATCTTTGCTTGTAATAGTCAACTCCTGATGTTCCTTTAAGTCACAAATCATTTTATAAGTCAATCAATCAAGCACATTTACACCCAGCCTAATGTCCTGATACATGATTTATTACAGTCTTTCATTTCTTTAAATTTCATAAAGATAATTAATCATTTCAGTAAACTAAATGAAGGAAAATACAACAAGAACTGAAAGCTAGAAATATATATAATACAATATAAGCTTATTCAGCTGACTACCTTTGTATTTTAATTTGTTAAAAAAATGCTATGTACAATGAATAATTCTCCGCGTTCCAACAAACAATTGTCATGTAATCACAATTAAAATCAAACATTAAAAAATCCGAAAGTAGGTAATTCGCTGCTCTATTTTACTGATTTTAAAATCGGATATTTGTGGCTAACCAGTGCATCGTTTAAAATCAACTCACCTCATCACTTGATATTTCAAAAAACATCCGCCTTTCTCCTAAAAGGAATAAATATATGTTTGCAATCGGTTCTAGGTGTAAATAAAGGTCTCAAATGTTTATTTTATTGAGAAGGTTATGGAGGTGGGTGGCAGTGTTTTCGGGTCACCCTCTTCATCTCAGTTTTTGTTTTAAATATTCATCTTCCTTTACCAACCTTTTGCGACCAAACTACCCACAAAAACTATTTGTTGGACTGCTACCACAAGTATGTTGATTGTTAAAACGAATTGAGGTCTAAAACTGAAACTCTTTCTTATCATTTTCCACTTCTAGATAACAAACTATGGCTGAAGCAAGGTAAGTCTGTTTCACGAAGTCATTTTGAAGAAATGACAATTCACTGTCGCTTTTTCACTTTCTTCTCTGCATTTACAGTTTTCTACAATTTATATACAATGTAAACATTTTTTTAGTGAGCGAAGTGGACCTGTTGAAGAAGCTGTAAGTGACAATTATAACTTCGTAAAACCGGCTTTCTACCGTTCCTGGCAAATATTTCTTTGCCTTATAAAAGTCATAAAGTATAACGTTTTGAGAATTTAATAGTGTGTTGTCTTTGTTTTTTACTACCCTTTGAGTGTTTTCAATGACATCGCACCTGTTAAGCTTACTGTTTTTATTTTTTATATTTTTTTTATAATTGGTTGTGCCTACCACTAGATGGCTGAAGATGGCTCTGACGGTAAGAGATAAGCTTCACCCAGTTGCAAAAGTACTTGAGACACTGTACGGTATTTTAGCATAAATGGCCTGTCCATGATCTTGTGCTTGTGATCCCCCCTTCACCCTTTATCAAAGTTGCTAGCAATACAAGACCATACTCAAAACGTGGAGGAACAACTTTGAATGGGAGGGAGGAGGGAGGTCAGTATTATATCTTACAGACCTGTGACCAGGAGCGATTTGAAGAAAGAAAGGTCGTTTTTCCGTGGGAGTGTCTCAACATTTTTGCAACTGGTTGTTCCTTTTGTTTTGGTCTTTTGTTAACTTGTTAAAGGGGTTTTCTTTTCTTTCTAGTATACACTTGTGTAAAATTAAGAATTTGTTCATGCTTAGCTTGTGTATATCGAATTATGGATGCACGCGGGAAGTTTGGAGAGCATGAAAGATGCGTAAGAGTTGCATGAGGAGATAGCCGAGTGCAACTCTAGCTTCTTCAGTGCTCTCCAAACTTCCCAAGTGCATCCATAACTCGATATACACACAGCTAAAAGCATTAGCAAATTCTTCTATAACACAGCTGACAAAAATGCTTGTTTTTTGATTAACTACGAAATTCTCGTAACGCGCAACACAATAACAAACGCTTGTATTGGCTGATTTTTGAATAAAAATTCTTTCTGTTAAACTGAGAAAGAAAATTTGCTTATTCATTCGTTAACGATCAATGAAAACTAAAAAGAAACAAAGGTAAAAGAGTCTTAAAGTCCACCTAAAGTTAAAATACTCACATGTTCGTAAGAAGTTGTGGAGTATATGGTTTGGATTTGCTCGGCGAAATCCAAAAAACTTGTTTTTTAGCGAAGACAACCGTCATCCTACTTTAACCTTAAATTCATTTACGAACAATGGCTGGTTATTACAGCTTCTTGAGAAGAAGACCTGGCAGCGTTGTTTTTGTGAGTAGCAAATTTATGTCTTCTTGTGTAATTTGTCTTGTTATGGCAAGAGAAATTTTATTTGCTTCAGTCGGATTGTTCGGCGATAACAAAAGTGCATAATTTTTCGCTTCAATACTTTATAATTAACTTGTTTTTTTAAGGGTATTAAAACAAACGTTAAAAACGGAGGACACTTTATACAAATTGCACATTTTCTGACACGGACCAATTTGTGGTCCTTTTCCACTTAAATGTCAGTCTTTACGGCAGACTTTTCAACGAATCATTCAGTCTCCATTATTTGCGAAGCATCTTCACCGCTTTTGCTGTTGGTTTAAGTGGCTAGAACGAAGCTAAATTCTCATTGCCGTCGATTTTTGGGTACTTAAGAAAAAAGACGAAAAACACAGGTGAACACGTCATGTCATTTACGCAAGCGCGTGCGTAAATAAAGATTTTGTTCATAGTGGCTCAATAGGACTTATACAGGGCAAGCACGCCCACTATGTTATAATGTATGTTTTAGCAGAATTCTCATCAATCACCTTTTTTTAAACGTTTTCGTAGCCGGTTCAATCGCAAGTGCGCAGGCCAGACCATGGCCACTTAGAAGAAGGGGAAGAGGAAGGAGTAAGTGATAGATACGTCCGGACGTCTATGTTACCTTTAAGAATTAGGCCCCTTTGAACGACGCACATCAACTGGAAGTTGACTAGTGCATCGGTAGGCAGTAGTTCCAGAAAATTAGTCTCCAAAACAGTTTAAGACACTTAATTTCAAGGCATATTAATACAACGAGACACGGGCCTGACTTTAGTATTTAACAATACTAGGGGGAAATTGCAAAGTGAACTTGTGCCACTTGACCATGTTTTTCCCTTTACTTCATGCTACTTGTATTTAACTGTTCTTCAGTTGTACAACAAATAAATAGTTTCACGTTATTTTGACTACAACAACTGCTTTAGACTATTTCTACCACTTGATTTTCTCTTTAATAAAAGGCACAACTTCAAGGTGGGAGGGTACTGGTGCTAGGGTTACCCTAGCACTCGCATATTCCTTCTTTTTTCACACGACGAGTTTACAAGGCAGGTATAGCTAGGGTAACCCTAGTGCTAGGGTAACCCTACCTGAGTGCTAGGGTTACCCTAGCAAGAGGGTTACCCTCCCTGCCTTGTAAACGCTCAGCTAGGGATAACTTGCCTACCCAGGTTAACTTTCTGCTGTCATGCGTGACCAGTAATCACATCAATTTGAATGGTATTATCCAATTTCTGAGCTTAATTGTAAACACCTGAATCATAACAAGTTATTTTCGGTCTACGATGATAATATTTTCCCTTCTTTAGTGAATTTCACGTGTTTTCCATAGAGAACTTCAAGATTATTTCAAAGTTTAGACCGTTGCAAAGAATGTCACACATCTCGAAACACGCCAGCAAAGCTGGTAAAGTTGAACCGGGTGATAGGGTAACCCTACCCCTGAAAATTGCTTGTAAACCTGACCTGCTTGCTAGGGTAACCCTAGCACAAGGTAACCCTCTCTCCTTGTAAACAGGCCCTTAGCAATTGGAATTCCGCCAAGGAGGGTAATTCGAAAATGTTTCGCAAATGCATAATCTATATGTTATGCACCTTTCACTCAGTCATACATTAAAAACAGCTTGTTAACAGCACTAGTTATTTTTTTCGCACCTACGGTTGTAAAGTTAACTATTAATTTTTCAGTGGGTCAAACACCCATTATAAGTAGAACTGAACAGAATATGACAAGAACTTCTTTTGTTCATTTTATTAATTACAACCTCTACAAACCTTAATCTGTAATAATCTGTCTTTCTTAACAGGGTGTTACAGGTGCAAAGGTAAGGGGGCACACAGCCCATGTGTGCCCCTCACGCGTGATAGATGATGAGCTGCAGGGTAAGGAGGTGTATTAGTGGGGACTTCTGTTACTATTAGGGCTATCCAGTGATAAATAATAATAATTGTAATGGGAATAAGTGGAGTCCAACTTTGTCTGTACATGAGTGAAGTTCCCTTAATAACAAATGGTATTGGTTATACCAAAGGTTATCATGTTTAAAGCTTATTGAAGATTAGGACCTCACAAATATTCTGAAAGCTTTTTGCTCACAGTGAACAGAAAACATTCGAGTGCATGGCAACAATGACCTGTACTGTCATCCAATTCAGTACAATGCATGATGTGTACTTCCAATCCCTATATTAATGGTAAAATTAAGACAGCTGATAGTCAGCCCAGTCAAAGTAGATAATGTTTTTATAGCTATTATTAATACAATTCTTTGTTTCAATGTGTAGACATTCATGTTAAGTGCTACAACTGTGGGGGGTGGGGCCACAGGAAATCTGTGTGCTCCAGCCCAAGGCGCAAGCCGCGCAACAAGGGTACAATAGTTATGTTATATGATAATTATCCATGACTAAAATAGAGAGTAGACCTGCAGGTTTCTCCAAACTCAAGTTACATCTTCATGTACATGGATGCTGTAAACTTTAGATTACAAACTTTAATTGGGCTTATACAACTAGACTAAAAAAATTAGTCTTTCACAACAAGCTATGTTGCAGTGCTGATGAAAATACTTGCACTGCTTCTTTAAACTTCGAAAATTTTGTTCAAAGTTTAATTCATTTCAATTTTGATGGGAAAGGGGTGGCAGGGGGGTAGTGGTAGTGTCTGTTGACATATTTCACATATTGTGCAATACCCCCTTGTATTGCTGTATCCTGTCTTGAACTGAATACGTAACCTACACTATGCCGTGTGTGAGCGAGAGCCACAAGCATTTTATAAAAGAGTGACTCTAGAATGACCCTGAAATAAAAACACGTGAACAAAACAAATAAAACAAAGGACATAAAGCAAAAAGAGATAAAAACGAATGTGGCTTTTCAGTTGGTTATGCAAACATTTGGGAGAAAAAACTTCATGCTCAATAACTTCCTAGAAATGAATCAAAACTTCGCTTCGATGTGAAAATGAAACAAGATTGGCCAATTGAACAATGCCTTCTCCACATTAGGGTTTTCTTTGGCAGGAAAACAAAGAAACCATATTTTGATCTTTTCACTGATTGGGCTATAAAACAGTGTCTTTTACAGGTGTTGGCTTTTAGTCCCCTTTAGTTTTCATTTGCCACCTAAATTTCACCTTGGATCCCTAGATCCGAAAAAATTGTTGTTTTGTGGATGACCTAGTTCAAAAGTTAATTTTTAACCCTATACAGACAAAATATTTTACCTTTTTACAATCTGACCTGTGAGTTTGTGGTTCTTCAGTATTATATAAAACAAACCAATTGTAATTCATTTGTTCTTCAAATGCTTTGTATGATTTACCTGCTTCGGATTTGTTCTACCCTAACTCTTCCCATTATATGACCAACTATTAAAATCATTTTTTGAAATGCTTACATAGTTTTTGACCATTTATTATCTGTTATTTATTATTCGTCTTTCTTCCGACAGGAAATGATCATGGAACTGGAGAAGGCCAAAGCCATGGCCAGAATGTTTTTTACATCTATAAAAAGTAACTATTTATTACATAATTACTTATTATAGATGTAAAAAATATTCTTTTGTATTATGCATTCATTACATTGAATTTCATTTCTATTATATCTATATATTTAATTTTTTTATACAGTTTAAAGGGGCTGTGTCACGGCAGTCGAGTCATTTTGTTCAATTTTGCCAATTTCTCGCCATCAATCCCTATGGAACTTAAAGTAAGCGAAGAAATTACATGTAAATGACAAAATCAGAGACCCACAAATATGTCCCCTGAGCATGATTCTTGAAGTTGCAAGCAGCAGGGCTTAACTATGACAAACTGTTAGGCTGAACAGTTTTCAAAAATCCTAATTTCAATCCGTTTCAATCTTCTTCAGTTTTGCCCATCTGTGACATCTGTTGTTTCTGTTATGTTATTTTAACCTTCCTTTTAAGTTTTAAACGTTGATTTTTATGTTTCTCTTAATTTAACGGGCCTTTTGTATTTTCCTACTTTGGCTGAATTTCGTGACACAGTTCCTTTAATTTTGTACACTTCTTTTGACACTCCTTTATTTTGAAAAAGTTTTCTACAATTTTATACAGTAATTAAATTTTTGACCCGATTCCTTTATTGCAAAAAATTTTATAAAATTTTATGTATTATTTGAAATTTAATTAAAATGCAGCTTTTTAATCTCTGATCAGGCTTTTTTCGTTCAGGGAAACACCTTATACATTTCCTGCATGAGTCGTCTGCCACCCCCTAATTAAGGTATCTACCAATGTTTATGTTATTGCGTCAAATTTTACTGGACGTTCAAGCCGTTTCCAACAAAGAGGGCTTTTATCAAGATGTGTTTCTCTGCTTTCCATGCAAGACGTGAATTATAAGTTGATGCAACAGTCGTTAGCGAAAACATCACAGATTTAAAAAATGAAGTATTTAGCAGTGATTGCGAATCTTGCATTATCATTGTTGTGTGGTACATTAGTTCGAAATGTCACGTGAAACAAAAAAATTCCTTAAATTATAGAAGAGAAATATAGTGCAAGTGCTCAAAACTCTGCAACAACAACTCTTTCATCGTCCTTCATAGGTTTGCATACTTCTGCGCAGTTGAACTCATGCAGTCATACATAGACAACAATTGTGCTTGTTACGAGCAAGAAAGCGTCAAAGAAGAAATAGTCATGGTTCGATACACATTCTTCAAAAGGTCTTGAATTAAGTAGTTGTCTTGATAAGACCTTGAATTTGGATGCGGTCCATGAAAACTAGTTGATATCTTTATTAGGTGATCAAAACTCCTTTCAATTCACCGCCTTGTCTAAAGCCATTTTTATGCATGAGCAATATCTCACTTCGGTTTCTTACTTTAAAGGCTGTCTCTGTACCTCAGATGCAATTGCAAGTCAAACCCAGTCATTTTCCATAAGTGTTGTATCAGGAAGTAGTATACTTGGTGTAATATGCAATCAACCATGGCTGAAGAAGTAATAATTATACATGATTCCATGACGTGATTTAGCCAATAAGATATTCAGAAAGGGGCAGTTAAAAAAAGCCGATTTATTGAATAAATAGAGGATATTACATGGCCGCATGGAGATACAAAATTTATCTTCGAGTGTTGGAAAATATTTCACGAGTGAGGACAGCGAACGAGTGAAATATTTTCAACACGAGAAGATAAATTTTGTATCTCCAAGTGGCCATGCGCCATTTATTATGTAGCCATAGCAACACTGATATTTTCACATGTGAACATAACATGATATTTTGATGTGTGAAGATATCATGTTTTCGCGCGAAAGCTCACCTGGTATTTCATTGGTGTTTATATAATAATAGACTGTATCCTCTCAACATCAGTAACAAATAACAACTTGCTCTCATCACAAAATGAAATGCCAATGTTAAATTTTTTTCCCATGATTTTTGACTTGTTTCATTTATAAACTACCCAGTCATTCGATGTCATATGAAGCACCACATAGTATTTGTACATGTATGCTTCACACTAAGTTTGTTTTCAATTCCTTGGAAAAGGTTTTTCTGATGTCTCTGACACGATGCGATATGACTTGATAACCAATGCAGATCATTTAGATGTGGCTACCAGAATGTCACCAGTCACCAGCAGGCGACTGAGTAAGTTTGCACTCTAGTATTTTCGATGGACACACCGCAAAAGGAGTAAAATGATCTTCCTTCTAAACAAAATGGCGAACAACAGAAATCATACTATTTTGTTAAAAAAGCAAAGTTCCATAAAATATCTCCCTCAAATGTGTTTTCTCTCAAATTTCGGGTGTGAGATAATTGTTATGTGCTCTGTCAATTGTTGGAATCAGTAAGATTCCAACTCATTGGTTAAAGGAACTATTGGTCACGTGACCTCTTACCTCCGCAAGTGGCCTATTGTGTTATTCTGTGGAGGAAACCATAACAATCATACCCGCTTTAATAAAGTGAGCGCTTGATGTTAACAGAGATTCCGACCTTCCTGTTTTGGATAAAAACCTCGCGTTATTGGTAAATATTTCCTGCATCCATTTTATGTTTATTGTCCTGAAATCTCCCTTTTTTAGTTGGACTATACCGAAACAAACGTTGCCCTTACATGACATAAACAACATTTAAATATGCAGCTCAAAATACATTACGTTATAAGTTTCCTACCTTCTCACACACAGGCCTAAGTGCATCCTTTCCGAGCTTAGAAATAAAACAACTGACAGCCTCCCTGTGAAATGATGTAAGATCTCCAGCTAGCGTAAAGGAGATGCATTTTACAAAAGTCTCAAAAACGCAAGGAGCTGGGCCAAGTCAAAAGAGGGCGGGGAAGGGGGCGGGGACAGAATGGTGATCGGCGATTGGCACACACGTCTAGCAGGAATGAACGCCTGGGAGTAAAATGTAAGCCGCCACCTTTATATCGTTGAATTCCGTGGCGTGTTTTAAGTATTATTTGAAAGAAAACGAGCCCAGTGTAAGATACAAAAAACCACTGGAGAATGTGTTTTGACTTGATTTATCTTGACGACTACGCGGAAAAATGCGGAACACATTTTGAACATCGTACATCTGCCATGGCTTGGGATAATTCGTTGCATGAAGACCCTAGGCCTACCACTATCCTGCACTATCTAGGTAACAAAAATAAAGCAATACTAATGACAATGCCACAAATAGAGCTCCTGGGTTTCTGGCTTCAAAGCCATGGTCCCCAGGGTGAACCACTACATACCTGAATGCTTCTCCAGTGCCCACAGTCATCCCTTGGCATTTGTGGATTGTTGTTCCCCATGCCAGTCGCAATGAAACCTGCAGACGCTTGCATCGGCATGCGCATTCAGTGAAAACTACTTACCGGTACAATTGGCACAACTGTTGGATCTTCATTAATGTATGGTGGCCCCCTGTATCCTGGAAACCTCACCAGAACTACACCAGGTAGAGGAGCAGGATCATCAGTAGGTCTGTGGCCATCTTTGTACACAATATCTACGACTGTGCCTACTGCCCCATTGTACAAACCCCAATCAGCCTTAAAGTTAACCACCAGCATGACTTTGCTGTCACGGCAAAGATACAGTAGAGGTAACAATCCCCCCGCCTTATTACTGTCGGCCTTCACTGCATGTCTGCCATTGTCAACTGCCTTGATCTTTGCCACTGGGTGGTTTGGCTGTCTGTTACATTCAAGCAGCTTTGTTTTATTACGCTGCCATTCAAGACGGTGCGTGGGAAATACATAGAGTCCTTGCTCATCCATCCTAGCAAGAGTTCTGGGCCATGCGACATGCGGAGATTGTGCCATTGAAACTGTTGTAGCCAATGGATTTGCTGGGGGTGTTGTCATATAATTTCTTAGTGATATCAGCACGTCTCTCAGCTGTTGTCCAGATTCATTCTGCCGTATAATCTGAGTAAGCTCAACAGCACTATCAAACATTGTCCAAACCAAGCGACCGTGGTTAGATGGTGCACTACGACAATCTGAGATGTACACCAGGGTGTCACACACAGGAGGAAGCTGAACATCATCTCCCATAAACACTGCCACAGGAATCCCTCCCCATAACTCATCTGCATTGGCTGCTTTGTTCACTACATAACGTGCATGCTGTTCCATCTAGCCCATTGTTGTACGTCCAAACATTGATCGCTCATCACCAACCAGAACTTCCAGATTTTCGCACTTTTTCTGAATTTTCTCTAGTAAGGGACCTGTAGGTACTGTCAACTCATTGCCAGACCTTCCACCTGTTGGTACTCCAAGAAAACTGTGAGCTGTACTGCCGTGAACGAGATAGGCAGCATTCCCCGTTGGAGTTATCACCTGTATTGCATCATTGGCTTCAAAAACTTGCCGCACTAACCTCTGGAGACACTTGATGACATACAACTTTCCTGTACCAGCAGTTCCAGAGACAACAAGCCGCAGTGGATGGTAATATTCAGTGTTTTCAACAAAGTTGTACAGGGCAAGCAAAACTAGACTCACTGTGGCTTTCTGATTTTCATTTAGAGATAACGGACACACCTGAGGTAAATCAAGGTCTGCACTTTCTGTCTGAACGGACACACTTGAGGTAAATCAAGGTCTGCACTTTCTGTCTGCTGTTCATCATCTGCTTTAATACTTTCTTGAAGCCATTTTGTTGGGTCTTCTCCTTTAGGAAGAATGATGCGGGTACTGCTCCAGTCATAGTCCTCCCCACCATCATCATAATCAAAGTCCCTCTCTACATCCTCATATATTTGGTTCTCCCCTGCATATACATCCACCCAGTCTGGTTGTTCTTCTGCTTCGGCAGCATCATCTTCCTTATCCTCTTCAAATACTGGTTCTTGTGGGTGGTCTGCAAAACGCCGTGCCTTAGCAACTTGGGCCTTTACAAATGTTGGACAGTCATCACTTGCAAAAAAGTCCTTAAAGCGATCAATCCAAGATTCAGCATCCCCCTTCACTTCTTGGATGTCAAACCAGCTTGGCCAGTGTAGCAGGAGCATAGTCCTACAGTAGTCCTCATTCAGTGGCCATGTTGCGTGTAGAACCACCACTTACAACAGGGACATTACCGTTCCTCGATGCAAAGTGGTACCAAGAACAGTGCTCATGTCTTGGTCGTGCAAGGTACTTATCCAGTGGGGTGCTGCGAGTTGCAGTTTCACCATCACGTTCAAGTCTCCTTGACCCCGACATTGACAAATAGGTAAATGGACGGCTACATCGCCAAAGTGCTAGGCCACTCAGCCCAAAGATGTCTCCGGTCCACTGATATCTCGTCTTCCCACGGTCTTTATCAGCATCTTAGCACACATTGACTTACCTGTCACTTGGTCTGCATCAGCTGCATCAACAGCATTTACCATCTCCTTAAAGAGATCAGAAGTTGCACCAGTGGGGTCGCTACCTTTGCAAACATATCCACACACATAGTCCATTATGGCTGTGATATCATCAGTGCTAGGATTGTCTGGAGGGGAATTGGAAAGAATCAAGCTTACATCCCCATTTGCTCTCCATGATTGTAACTGATAACTAGAATGCTGAACCACACGTGGATGGTCACGAGGCATCTCCAGGCGGGGAGCTCCGTTATGATCTTCCACAATTTCGGGATTACTGTGCACTTTTTTCTCTGGGTGGAACTCGCTTCCAAACTCCATCCGGACATACACATTCTCTTGGCTGCAGTCCTTGCTCCGGATGGCGAGGAATTCTCAAGCAGTAATCAGAGCAACTGTGGAGTCCAACTGTGTTTACTAAAAGCAAATGATCCTCCAGTATTGCATCTTGTGTTGCAGCGATCTGCATTAGCATCTTAACTAAGGGATCCCTATCATCTGATATGGGCTCAGCCGTTCCCTCAGATGGTGGCCAGAGGTTTTTTCTTGGCTGCCCTTCTTCGTCATTGCCAGCTGGATGTAATGCTGTCATGGCAAAGGTTTCATCTGCCCACTGACTAAGTCTAGCTGCATACTCTTCCTCTTCGCAACCATCTTCACGAGCTTCATGCAATAGCTGATGTGGTTGCCTGTCTTCCCTCCAGCTGAGTTGGTGCCAACGAATTTGACCGCGGGACTTGGCAAACTCATAGCGGTACCAATAATCAGAGACACCAAATACCGGCTTCAGTACCTTCTCATGGTAAGCCTGGGTACGCAGGTCAAAGTAACTCACCACTACATGAGTATTTTCTTGTACTGCTTTGAAGCGGGCATTGCTATCTTCAGCAAGGTTGACTTCTTCGCCTTTGGTCTGCAAGATGTACTCTTCCAGTAGCCTTCTAAGAGGAGAAAAAGTAAAACTCGGCACGGCTTCCAGTCATGAAAAATGAAGGCAACCCACGCTTCTCATTGACCATGAACTCCACAAGGGCACGAAGCTCTCTGCGTCTCTGGTGCCAGTACTGAGCTGTACCACGCAGATTTGCGCCAAAATACAACAACTTGTGGGTAAAAGTGTCACCTCTCGCAAATCGCTCTTGCAGGTCTGCAACAGTTATGTGTGGGTCACCAAGTTGCTGATCAACAAAGAACCGGCTCTGTTCCAGGGCACGCTTCCTCGTGATCACATTGTGGACAACAAACTTCCAACCACAGCAGGTGCTCTGCCCAGTTCTGCAGTGTGGGACACGCCATCATACGGTTTATGTGGAAATCACCCTTTCCATTGGGAAACACGCAAGGAAATGCCATCGTAAAAAAGTAGGGAGTGGTAAACTCTGATGCTGGTGTTGTGCCCGTGGTCGGCCAAGGGATCACTGGTCGTTGCACATTTCCTTGTGCTTCTACAGCTCCACCTTCCAGAGGTTCAGAAACAACTTCATTTATGGCTGCTTCTACTTGTGCCTGCACATTCACTCCAGGCTCAGGAAGAATAATTCCAGAGACTGTTGAGTCATCAGTGCTGTCTGTTTCCCCAACATCCAATTGTTGTGGTGCAGGGCCTTGGTCATCAATGCGTTCTGTTTCAGAGAACTCAACAGTCCTCAAATTCGGCAACTCACCATCTTCTGGTAAATTCTCTATGCAAGCGCCATCAATAACAACATCACCATAAGCAGGATTGTTGTCCTTGAGCCAACGAAGGGCTCCTTCAACCCGGTGTCTTCTAACCCTGAAGTCCTTATGGGTATCATCTTTTCCTTGTCTTCTCACCCGTATGATATCCACCTCTGCTGGTAGGCGTGGAAGAATAGTGGCTGGTTCTTGCACAGCCTGTGGGAAAGCAATGCAATGTCCCTTTGAGGCAATACCTCCATGCTTCAGTAGGTGTACATGCACAGTAGGTGCTAGCCTGGCTATCAGCATCTGTTCAGCATCTGACATGTTAGACAAAATCTCAGGAACAGCCATTGGATCCATGTTATTCTCACCAGACCAAACTTTTGGCACCTTCTTATCTCTTCTGCAGCGAGTACACATGTTTCTCGTGCCCTTGCACTCCAGTCGCCTTTCCTTGCAGACCTCACAAAAAAAGAATGCATAAGTCATCTGCTCCACCTCAAATGCACGAATAGCTCTGTAGGCATTATATTCTTGCTGACTTGACCCTGCTGGTGGAGGAGGTGGTAGATCAACAACTTCACGCAACCTTTTCTCTTGTTCTGTTATTCTTCTTTGGTTTCGCCGCTGTCTTTTTCTTCTGTCATCCTCCGTTTCCACTTCACCAGGCTTTGCAAACTCATAGTCCACACCAACTGCCCTTGCTCAAGCAATTAGGCGGTCATCTTCTAAGTGGCTACTATTATTTACTTCTGGAACAGGTTGCTGTGTTTCCTGCACGTTGCTTGCTCCCTCAATTGGGCCATTTTCTACTGCAGGAGTGTGTTGTTCCAACTCTTCTCCTAGTAAATGAATTATTTGTATTAACCAACTACACAATTCATATAAGCTATGGGGCTAGTGGATTCTATTTTTTATCTTGCCTGAGGGATAATAGAGTTGTGATTCTTGGGCTAACAGATGCAAGCTACAGCCTTCGCGAAGGACAAGCACAAAACTGACCTCCTTTTCTTCGCATCCTAGCACTGCATGCTTGTATAACTGTACAAGAATTACTATTATAAAGCTGTATCTGTGGAAGTGTTCTCAAAACCTGATTTCAAATAGAAAATACACAATATTTCTGCTTTTGAAACTTCGGATAATACAACAACCTTGACAATCATTTTCTAAGTGCTGATATTTCATAAATCAGTCATCAAATATAATGGGAGTGACCCAACCAATGAACTCATTATTATAATCCAAAAAATTATTATCTCTATGAGAATTCAATGTATTTTAACTTTGTTCTAGTCAAAGTAATACAACCCTAAGGTAAGTTTTCCCATAATAATAATGCACGATCATATACAAACAGAACAGAAATCCTACAATCCAGTCATGGGGAATTAAGTACAGACATGATGACTTGTCATGTTTACCACAACAACAACACTTCAATTACACGACAAAAGGTCTAATCAATGAATTATACAGTGTTTTTGTTACAAATAAATATGATGAATTCTGGGACTCACCTTGTGAGAAATCATGAGTCCCAGTTAAAAAAAATGAGTCCCAAATGGAAAATGTTTGGGCCTTTATGTACCAGCCGCAGACAGTTAATCTGAAGACACACTCCAAAACTCTGTATTATAGTATACTGAAATTAAAATATAGTTCTTCTATTTTAAAGCAGAAGTCAACAAAGGCTAAAACAAATATGCATCACTAAACAACAACCATAACTGCCACAGAAATTACACGTACGGGATATTTCTACCAATACACACGTTCAGATCGATATATCCATGAATTATTTTATGTCTTTGGCGATTTTTATGCGTCAGAAACATAGATAGAATGCAGAGGTAACAAAATCACTGATTATATAGCTGTTCTTTTGAGTCCATGTAAAAAATATATATATGAAAGTTTTAACATTCTTATTTGTTACACACACACGCCCACCCACACCTTTATTAATTTCAAAATCTTGGTTACAAAAATGAAAAAAGAACAACCCACAATGAATAAATAAATAAAAATAATCAGGTAAATTCATAAAATAAAATATTGAGAAAAAAAGTGTTACAAGAAAAAGGAAAGATTACTTAGGTAAGACAACAGAGCATA